GTGTTCCTCTTGATGCAGGCGCGCAGCAGCTCCTCTCACCGAAGGTCCGGTATGGCGGACTTCCTCCTCCAGCGGCCACCTCAGCTATGGCGCCTCAACCTACACACGACGGCGCATGGAACAGCGGGTACCTGCTCCGATACCAGTGCAATCAAACTCGACTTATTCACACTTTGTCATGCATGGAAACAGCGGTACAGCAAACTGGCGACATGCTCCCACACAGTACTCAAAGATATCGTAACCGGATACGAGTTCTCTTCAACTGGCTATGGCGGCTCTGCACCCACACAACTCACTGTTCGCACTCTGAATCACCCTGGATGTCCCACACGCCACCCTCAGTGTTCATACGCAACACACACACACACTGTACTACAGCTATGGCAGCGCTAGCTGCCACTACCCTATCGCTATACTACACTTCACTGCCCACTTCGACTTTGGGCGTACTGCAGACCTCCTCGCACAAGCTGCTGAGGCAGCGCTTCCGCATGGCATCCGCAGGAATGAATGAATGGCTGGATGCAGCCTCTTGATTTATACTTCTGCGCTGCGTTGGTCTGCCCCATACCCCTTGGCCCACGATGTGCACACAGTCCCAGACGGTACTTGCTGGACAGGACCGGACTGACTAACTGGGACTACTGACTCAGCAAAGTGGTCTACCACCACTTGACCACTTGCCTCTGTTGAATGAAGGCCGACTCCGAAAGGCCTCTTCTAGAAGTGTCTAACTTGGCCTTTTGGTACTGTAGCAGCTACGACTTTGTCCTTTCAGGTAAGTAGCAGCTACGACCTTGACTCCTCAGGCAGCCTACAGCTACGACTTCGGAACTGTCTAGACTCCTACTCTATAGGTCTACAGTTCGATTCCCTTCTACCCTGTGACCTACGACAATTTGCCTACCACTGGCGTTCCTACAGGTCGCAGGTTCAAGTCTACGGGTTGACATTGATACTGTACACAGGTAAGACGAGGATGTAGGGATCGAGCCCTGGGATCTGCATTCGCTACCGCGAACTGGTGAATACCGTTTCAGCAGCCCAAATCCGCAATAAATGTTTTTGGGGGTGGTGGGGGTTATAGGGGAAGGAATAGGGATTTATAGGGGGGTTGTAGGGGTTTAAGGGTGGGGTATGAGGGTGTTAGGGGGCGGTATGGGGGTGTTTGGGGGGGGCTTTGGGGGTGTTGATGGGGTTATTTGGGGTTCTGGACCCACTTTTTTTCTTTTTTTTTTTCTTGCGGGATGCCGACCGACCCTCGACCGGTAGGTGCCGACCAGTCCGATGGTCGGCTGGTCGGTCCCCGACCAATCCAGCGGTGCCGATCGTCGCCGTGACTACTCTAGTGTGCACTAAATATTAAATGTCCCTGCGTAATTCCTTTTGTGTCCCTGGACCCTTTCAAGGTTGGGGTGTCAGTTGGTTAAATCACTAAACCACCAGCTCACACGAACCTGAGTAGTGCTCGTACTGGGTACTTGGCTCTTCACGCCTCAGCCAATCGGCATCTTACCTCATATGCTTGGTACTTCTGGCATGCAGTCAATTAAAAAAAATAAAATTGTCTTTAACATTATTTTTTAAAAGTTTTTTTGTCTTTAACATTACTCTTTTTTTTTTTTTTTGGTGAGGGGGCGGGGGGGCCTGGCGGGGGGKGTACTGTGTGAGCACCCCATATAAGGCATCCGCCCCAGGAAAAAAAAAAGGCCCCGCTTTCAAGAGGTGCAGTTGCAGGCTTGCGAGGTTTCGAAGGCGGCTTTCGCTCATGTGAACTAACTGGTGGTTTACATGTGGTTTGTTTCAGCATATCACCTCTTCTAGCGGAGGGACTGGTTTTCCAAAAAAAAAAAAAAAAAAGTTTCAGCATCAGACTGTGTCCACTGCTTAAAAATCTGGTCAGATTCAGATTCAGATTATAAAATATTAAATAATTAAATATAAATGTGTGTTAAACGGCTAGTACACGGCCCCAGCCTTGCAGAAAGCTTTTGTCGTCACAACCAAAAAATTTGGAGGGGCCGCACGGCATGGGGCGCTGTTGGTTGAAAAAAAAAAAAAAAGTAGCCAGCCTCCAAAGGATTACAATGATTACATGCATAAATGGAGCAGTGGTCCAAATGACAGAAAAAAAAAAAAAAAAAAAAGGAAAAACTTCCGAAAAAGTAAAGAATG